AGCCTACATGCAGCTTTCCAAAAAACGCACACAAGCGCACGCAGCATTCCCTTGTGCAAGTGTTTCATCCTGTGCACGTTGTTGGGCATTTTCCACATCAGCACAAAGCTGGGATCAAAGTTCAGCAGCCAAGGCATAAGCAAGCAAGCTTCTTCCCACACCAGGACTGGGAGTCCATTCCAGGCCTAACTGACAAGCCTGACGCTCTCAGTCCAATACCTAAGGGGCGGGGACAGCTTGAGGTCACGTCCAGCAATACAGGGGAGCATATAATGCAGATGGCCAATGCAAGTGGTCGGTAGATTTCACTTTTAAAGTCAGATATTCAGTTATTTTGATTTCAAGCATAAGACACAACCCCCCTCCTCCCTCCCTGTTACCGCACAAATTTCTCTATCCCTTCCACACTGTAGGGGCACACACCTTTACCCAGTTCCTAGGGCTCAAGGTGCAACCCTGTTAATTTACACACCCACCCTTACCCAAGGGATGGAGAAACCAGCAAATCCCTTGCTAAGCTGCTCTGCTGGTTAATTACTGATTGTTAAAAATGCAGTCCTTATACGGCTTAGGAGTTTGTTGAGTTACTGTAGGTCCCCTGGAAGCCAGCCAGTTCACACCCAAGTCAGCATCGAAACAGATAGGTCACCCGTCTCTGAATTTTCCTCCTACACAAGCGTTTATTACTTTTTAGCCATTTCTGTGTCAAGGCTGTAAAACGGCACAAGGGCATTAAAAGAATAAAAAGCTGCAAGTAGGTCAGAACAGTAAAGCTCAAACACTTTTATAGGACAATTCTGTTAATTCCAGCTTGATCTTTATAACTCAGTCTTCTCCTTTTAGCTAACACTTGAAATGTGTCGGTCATAAAGAACAGATTACTCTGAAGTACCATAACTTTATATGACCAAGTTAAAAACGGGCAAAAGAGTTGGCTAATTCTTGCAGAGTCACCAGCAGAAGTTTTACAACTTGAGACACTGCAACTTGAGTCTATTTCTTGTGATGATTTTTAAACAAAAGTAAATAGAAAGATTTCAAGGTCTATTCAAAAGCATCTGGCAATCCGGATTCAGCCTGCAGCTTACCTATTAACTACCCCTCCCTTAAGCCATTTTCTTTACTATTCCTATATGTAGAAACTGAAGAGATGTAGGTTGGATACTAAGAAAATGAAAACCACCATTCTCTTTAAGGATTTATTTGTTTTTACCTGAAGAGCCTGTGCAATAGCATGTGCACAGCATACATCCTGTTGTGTTAAAAACAATACTATGAGACCAGCTGACTGAGTCGTGCTCTGGTTCAAACTATTTATTTAGGCTACAATGGTTGGATTTCAGGACTACTGAGCCCTACCAGTTCTGAAGCACTGCAACTCTTTAAATCAATCAGGCCACGGATTCTAGCACGGGGAGCGTGGGTGAGTGCAGCGCATCAGTTAAATGCGATGCCTAGACAGTAAAAAACAGAAAGTTCTACTCCACTCCACAGGTCTTTCAATACATGAGGGGCCACAGGGCAATTTGTCAGCACAATAGCCAGCAATCTGTGTGTGGGTGTGACAGCAAGTGGACTGGTTTCTAAAAGTGCTCCATTCTCTCCATACACAAGATATTCAGATACAACTCACCTGAAAGGACTTGCACTTGACGTGCCTGGTCAGTTTAGGTTTCAGGGGGAATTTTATCTGGTGGGGTGAACATCCGAACGTTGCTCTTGGCAATGCTATTTTGGGTACAGAAGGCACACCCAGAAGCGCAAGCATGAAAGACTCTTGAAGAGCACAGATGAAGTTTGCTTATATTATACAGACCCACTCCTAGCTGGCGATAGGTCAGTGTACCTCCCTTATGGAAAGGCACACAGCATTAGTCACGGAGCAAAGTATGTTACATTGTACTAGCTTATGACTGCAGTGCCGTACCCTGGATTGCATCACAGTCATGAGACAGTGTCAAACAGTGCTCCCAACAACTCAGTTTGACAAGAACAAGCTGAAGTGACTGTCCCAGCAAGGTCCTGTGCAATCTAGACAACACACAATCATTGCCTTATATTGCAGTATCATATGAATAGAGCAGGCACAAGCACCCGGTGAAATGCAAGGGACCAAGAAGCAGGACGCACTCCCTGTTCCAGACTATTACCGCTCACAATAGCAGGAGTTTAAGAGCCTCCTTAACTTGTCCAAATGAAATCTTAAAAGGTTTCGTTCAGCCTCTTCATTTGCAAGAGCTCTCCAGCAGGCAGTCAATTCACACGTCCTTAGTGACATAGCTAGCTGCAAAGACAGTGGCAGCCTTGGAATACGGCAGGGACCTCAGCAGGAGCAAAAGGGGAAGTGCTGTTTTAGAACTGAAATCCCTCACTCAGTAGACTCCAGACCGTAACAGGAACTACCTCCCCCCTATATTCTGCCCACACAAAGTGGCTGGCCAGGTATCCTCTTTGTTATTGTTATAAATATCTGTGTAATAAGGGCTTCTCTCTTCCAGTCCCTAAAACAAACTTTTTGCTGCCAAACCATGATTTCAAGCTTGCCTAGCATCTCACCTGGAAATAAAGTGACCCTCAAGTCACCAGGATGGCACAGAAAGGAGGCAGGCGGGAAAAGGGCTTCTGTCCCTTCCTAGCAAAGGCCACAGCAGAATAAGGGATTTCCCCACTTTCGCTGGAGGAACGCCATCTCCCCAAACAATGGAGCTAGGTCGGTGGACTCCTGCTTCCACTGACCCAGCGGTTAGGTCCGCGTAGCTACAGCGCTCAGGAGTGGGACTGGACATCGTACCTTCATCAACCTAAGCTTAGGCCTCACTTAGGGTCCTGGTTTTAAGTGAGAAGTCACTTGGCTTGCATAGTTCTTCTCAGAGGATTTGAAAGGATTTCATGAGAATTAGTAGCTCTGTGATATAGGCAAGTATTATCCCCAAATGGGGGGAAATGTGGCAATGGAAGTTAAGCAGCTTCAGGGGTAGCCGAGTTAGTCTGTACAGGAAAAACCAACCAATGGTCTGTTAGCACTTTACAGACTCACAAAACACTCGATGGGATCGTGGGCACAGCCCACTTCTTCCGGTCTTCTGAAGAACTCCGGTAATCTGAAGTTAAGCAACTTGCCAGCAATCCTGCAGCAAGCCAGGGGCAGAGTCAGAACGCTGCTCTGAGCTAACTGCTAGACCACACTGCACGGGGATTTCAGCCGAAGGGGGTCCAAGCAGGGAAGGTTGAGACGTTTATAAGGAAGGGTCAGCATCTCTAAGACTCAGAGTCACAGAAGTGAAGAGGCACTAGACAAATCCTTTCCAAAAAGCTAACAGAGAAACTATGATTTGATCCAACCCAGCATAGCCCTTTAAAGCGCTGCAACCTGGAATCACAAGCCCTTTCCTAGGGGAACACCTGCCATGTACTGAAAGAGGGAGGTCTGCCTCCCGTATGTGTGTCCAAGTCAAAGAGCCCTCCACAGCCCGGGAAGCACCTGCCTTAAAGCAAGTATTCTGCAGGGTACAGGGCAGAGGCTGCTAGTGCCAGTCCACTGCAGCAAGGTACAGCATGGGCTGCAGCAGCACAAGCCCTGCTCGGGGATGGATTCTCCAGTTCCTCCCAGTGCCCCCAGCAGGGGGCTGTAATGGAACGGGTTCCTTTAAC